ACTGCATGGTACGACTCGGCTCGGTACGGCTCAGTACGGCACGGTTCGGCTCGGCACGGTTTGCGTTTCCACTGCAGTTCAGTACCTCTTTAGAGTGGGCGGGATTATTCATATGTCATTATAGTTGCGCCGCCTTTACTACCACGACCCTAAAAAAAACTTTTTCATTCCGCGTCGCCCCATCAAGCTCTCGCTGGATCCGCTCCTCTGCTATCAATGAGAGGAACATCGATCCTTCGCTGGCTGTGCTGATTTAAATCTAGCGGTTCTTTTGTGCTTGTGTCGCAAGTTCAGTGCAGTTCAAGTTCAGGTAGTGACGATTCTCTCCAGTTTACACGTCACGTGCTGGTAACGGTACGGTTCACTTGGAACCCCAACCGAAGTGGTACTAAAAAAAGTACCAGGTACCAGGTACTGTATCCAGTGGAAACCCCCCCCAAAAGTGAACCGTACCGAGCCGTACCGTGCCGTACCATGCAGTGGAAAAGCGCCATAAGTAACCATAGTAACTTGTTCTCTGAAGATAACCTGCTCCGGAGCAGGTTATGTTCCAGGGTTAGTTCACTTCAGCGCACGTGTGATCTACTGATGAGCCTTCAGTGGGCGTGACAGATAGCGCACAACATTATATAATATTACAATATGTAATATAGCCTATTATATATATGATATGTTAATGATGAAGCACTAATATAAGTAATAAATTAGGTAATATATTATTCTAATATGGTTATTATTTATTTTATTGGCCTATATAACAGCTATCTGTATAAATTATAAAACACTATGGCAAGGTAATGTTTAATTTATTATATATTTATTTATTACATTTTATATTATCTCACACATGGATCGGCATTTTCTATAATGTCTAAATTCTAAATCAAAATACATATCTGATATGACTTAATATATAATTAGCATCAAACAAACAATATAATTAATATCCTCAAGGATTAAAGATTACACGGAAAAAATTATTGCACAACCATAAATTAGGTGGCGATATGCACCAAGCATGTAAACGACCATTGAACATAGGAAGAAGAAAGAAACAGCATGGGGCGCTTTTTCTTAACATCCGTTTCCATAGTGACTTGTCGATTCATCGCTCTGTTGAGAATGTCTTGAGTCTTAACCAGGAACATACTCTAAGTTGAATGAACTTACTTTCTGAAAAATGAAAGTCATATACTCCTAGGATGCCTCGAGGCTAATTTTCATTTTTTGGGTGAACTAACTTGTCATTTAAGATTTAATATCAATTATTAATGTTAAAAAAATATTAAAATTGCAACAAACCACCATTATTGTGATCAGTGTGTGCTTATCTTAAGTCGTTCAAAATGTTGAAATCGATCTTTCATTACGGTTGTAAATGTTCTATTTCACATATGCAAAGATACTGTAGCAAAATATACAGAAATATTTAGACGTCTACACTTATCATACAAACCTCAACAATGGTGACAATCATGAAACTAATTCAGATAAACAGATCAACTGCAACTGCAATGCCGGGAATCATGAATGTGTTTTGTACTGTTGATAGCCAGCATGCATTTCAGCATAAAATTGTCTTTTGTTGATTGTCACCATTGTTGAGTTTCACACACTGATTCTTGATGTCTAATTGATTCAGCAGTTTAATATTTTTTTTTTATAGAATTTTCTGTTAATTCACAGAAGTACGAAAGCCGTATCACTGTTTTAATCTTACACTGTAGTATCACAAATGTTTCACACATAGAAAAATAACGTAACACACTTGCGAGCAGTTATTTAAATAACCTCACAATGATTACGGTCACCAAAACCTGATCCCAAAGGAGCTTAGTTTTCATTGTCTCAACAAATGTATTTTAGTACATTGTTGCAAGTGACAATGAAAATCAAACATTAAAGTGCAACGAGTCAAGAGCCCAACTAAAGTAAACGCAGATCACAATAATAGTGGTTTGTTGAAATTTCTATATTTTTTCAACATTAATTGCCTGTGTAAAAGTGATGTTGATTCAATGCATTTAACATTGACAAATCAACAATTTTTAACATTGATTCAATGGTTGCTTGCTATCAGGGATACTACGCCCTTCTTCTTTTGTTCAATGGCGATTTACATAGCCTACTTAGTGCACATCGCCACCTATTTGGTGGTTGTGCAATCATTTTTTAATCTTTGTGTTTAATATTTAATCTTTAATTATTGATAATAAGAATTATATTGTTTGTTTGATGCTAATTATATAATAAGACATATCAAATATATATTTCATCCTAGGACAACATTATAGCATATGTTACAAAAGGAAAAAATGTTCCATTGTAATGTAGATGTCACTAATCCGGTTCATGAACTTCCGTCTGCTAGCCATCAGAGGTCACCCTTTCCATTTTCATTGACTCTCGCACTACACACTGTTGCATATCATCCCGGACTACATATCCCATCATTCATTGCACTGATTGCACACAGCTGTTTCATATCACTCACTCACTATTTAACACTCACTCTTATCCCTTCCCTCTGCTGAGTATTGTTTAGCACTTATTGTTTGATAGCTACACGACAGAGCCCTTGTTATCTG